CATCGCGGTCGTCTTTTTACGACGGAACGTCGTCGTCTTTCTATTTTTTGATGATGTCGCCTCTTAAAAGTTTCGCACTAGGCGCGCAGGGATACGAGCAATTTAAATTTAATGCCGCTTTTGCGGCCCCCCAGCTCCCTGCCGACCATCTCGTTCGTTCCGTCTATCGCCATTTTGCTCCCGTCCCCCGTTACGCGTCGCCCCTGTCGACAGGTCTCTATGCTTTCTCGTGGGCGATTTTTATCTCGAGATTGCGACTTCCAAGGGAGCAACGACGACCACTCTTTTGGCCTACTTTGTAAAGAGCCAGGCCTCCTGAAGCTCCCGATCCATCTAGATACCGCTGTGTCAACCGTAGCCAACAAAAACTCGCCTTGACCCGATATTTTTATTTGTTTCGACCTGCCTTTTCGTCGGGGTCGCTTACGAACCGTATCGCTCGAGGTCGACCGACGCGGTCGTCGACTTAAATTTCGAATCCGATGAAAAATGATAACCGTTGAATAGCGTCCGTATGGTTTCTAATAACATTCTCAAAAGAATTCCAGATATATCAAAGATTCTATCGCCAGTTCCTTCAAGAGTAAACGAATTTCTTACAAAGATACAGCATTGTTTAGTCAATCTTGCTACAGACTGAGAGTGAAGCTCAACGTCGAACAAACCGCGTAGTATAACCTAATCTGGTCACGAATATGAAACTCTTCTATTTTTCATTATTTTCAAATGAAACTTATACCAACGTACTTGTGAGAGTTTTCTGATTAAAATAAGACCAAACACGACACAATTTGTTATTAACCTGCTTCTGATAGACTACAAAATCGTGTTAAATACGATTAAATATGCACTCATTAAATACAATCCACGTTATATCGTGTTTTTAATCAAACCTCATTCTTCGGTGTCTTTGGTCCCGCGTTTCTCGCCATCCAGGATTTGATGTAGGCAGAAAGGATCGGAAAATGGAAGGAAATCTTTTATTCGATCGTTTCCTTTACAACGCGCAACGAAGAGGTGCAATTTACCGGTACACCCGAGAAATATTGCGACACGTTCGCGTCGCTGAACAATTTAAACAGCTGCGTCAACTTCGGGAAATAAGAATTCGCCCTAAAACGGGATTGTTTATTCAAACGTTGTTTGCCTCGGCGAACGTACGATTCGAAACTGGAAATTCCTCCGCGGTTCTTTCCGTGAGTTCGCGGTAACCCTGCGACGCGATTAATAAATAATAGGGACCGGTGTGTTCGGCGTATCGGTGACCATAGAAAAGAGAAACGATCGCGCGAGAAACGTTCGCGGAAACTGGCTATATTTTCCTTGATTGCGGATCGTTCCGCGGAACTGCTCGTTGACACGTGAAACACGTTTACGAGGCTGGCGATAAGCTGTGTATTAAAATAATTTGTACGCAACGACATCCGGGGCATCGGTTAATCGACGATATGTAAATCTTGATACACGCAGGTGAATATTCTGTAAATAATCATTAGCGTATTACCGGCGACAATATATGTTAACGCGATAACCTTTTTGTCGCGCTAATGATCTTTCAAACGAGACGCTCAATTAGTTCGCACCTGACGCTCGAGACACATTTTTCAACTAAATTTTAATTAATCGCATATTCTATCAGCTAAATAATTTTTCGTTGTAAATAACAATCTACTATTATTATTTAATCGAATAAATGACTCGAAATTCTACGTCTGAACGGTAGAAACATTACAATATCTTAATTAAATGAATCTTGTATGATCTAATTGATAAGGAATATTTCACGAGACACACTATTGTGTCCATTTACCAAAATGATTCATAAATTATTATCAGTAATTATTGATATATAAAGAGAAAATGTATTGATCTCAAAATACTATTGATAACTATGAAAACTAGATTCAATTGAAATCGATAGAGTTAGAAAACGTAAAAAGTCTCTACCTTCGGATGGTATACAAGGTTACCAGTTGTAGGCGACATTACTCAAGCCACAGACGAGGTACACGAGTAGACCGTTTACCTTATGGACTTTCGTGGCCCAATCTGACTACCATACCGACCTGAAAATTCGATGGTGTTTTTAGCGTCCTCTTCACATGGATGGCGGTCAGTTGAGAAACTATTCACTGAATTACTATTGATAGGCAAACAGTATAGTGTTGCGTAAAACATGTGAGTTGACTATGAAAGAGATTTCTGAATCTGTTGGTAATATTGCGAATGACACGAAAATGGTAATGGGGTTTCGAGACCCCATAAAAATAGGCCGCAAAAATACTTTGGATGAAGGATCTACTTCTATACCACATCTGTGACAATACTCTAGAATCTTTGATGAATCAATGAGAATCGAAACTAACCTAGCGAAGAAGCTCTATATTTATAATGACCTATGCAAAGCGGATCGCAGCCAATTTGCTAATATTATTTAGTTTTTTATTAATAATTACATTACCCAGCTAGGAGTGATACGATTATTAATTAAACGCTAAATGATATTACCCAGGTCTCACCACGAGGAGGTTGCTGCGAATGGAGACCCACCCTAATCGATTTCCAACCACCCTTCATTAGTAAAGATCTTTTGTGACCAGCGATCGTTGGTCGAAGAAGCAATAAACGACAGAGTTTTTTGAGAAAGAATTTGCCTCTAAATTCTCATCAACAAAACAGAGAACATTTAGTTCGTCATAACAAATTAATTCGGTTATCACAAAATCATTATTAATTAATTTCTGCAACAATTAATTCTTCTGTTTTGTTCACATTATAAAAATGAGACCTCATCTGTGATGCCACTTGCAAAAGTCCACTATTTATCTGTAGTTTCTAATTAATTTAGATTAAACTTCTATTTATTAAATTTGCATCATTGTATTTAGAGAATGTATTTATGACAGATAATAATTATAAAAACATCGAGCGAAAGCTCCCCCCCTTCCTTTAATGTGGACGCGCGGAGCGCGACTGACGCGTGTATAGTGAAGCTGCAGCTTACATAGTACATCCCCACCATCGCGACTGCGCATCATCACTGCGCTGCTTCAAGCTTTCACGTCCAGTTGAGTTGAAACGTTATTACATCGATGAATAAAAAATTGAAGGATTCTTTAAGGAAAAAGACACCCAAATGACTGTATAAAATACCAATACTTTATTTTTCAATCGACTGTGCGTCGCACCACGCACGGGATATGTACAAAGTCGTCGTACCGTTTCTCCCTTCGGTACAACTCGCGCGCCTACCGATTAAAAAGTTATTTTACGTGCTAGGTTTAAAAAGTAACGCATAAGTGTGGTTGCTTCGTTCTTCGTAATTTTTTTTTTTTCTTCTCTTTTTCTCTTCACTTTTCTCCCCCCGCCTTTGTTTGCTTCTTCAAAGGGCGACTGATTAAAAACTATACATGCTGTTCCGAGCGGTGTATATGCGGTGCCTGAGGTATATCAGTGGTATTTCTATTGCGTTGCTTCGAAAATCGGTAAAACAACTGTGATACGACAAATATACAAAGTAAATACAGATCGATGCGAGTACCACGACATTGTCTAGTCGTGTCTGGCAGTGGAATCCGCGTCGCGGAGGAGATAGAGCCTTCAGCCCTTTCGGCGTATGCGTAAAAAAACATCGACAACAGCGTTACATTCACAATTTTCACGACGACCATATTGAATTTATATGGGGAACGTATAACGTGGTATCGGCTATAATCGGTATCGCAAACTCTATTGACTGTTCGAGGCAATTTCCCCCATTCTGGATCCCTTCGAGTGTTGTATTCAACTGTACGCGAAGAGACAGTGGTGGGGGAGTGTTACTCGATGACCCTGAGCGGCCAATGGAGTTTGTTTCGACTTTCATGCATGCGATAACGCGTGACGGAGTATAGGTGAAGTCGCGCGCGGCGAATTAACCCTACTCGGTGACACACACGGTACCGAAGGTGCTCAAGGACCCTGTGCTCGCATCGAACGAGAAAAAACAAATGAATAGTCGGGGGTCGGCGCGATCCCCGGCAAGTGAAAATTCGCTGTGACGTCGATTACAAATCTTGTTCGGCCGTTAAAAAGAAGAAAAGGGTGACGCAAGCTCATTCGTGTTCTTACAAAGCTAAAACAGGGGTGGAAATACGGGGTTGTTCGATTGGAACGAGACGCGATTTAGGAACAGGTTCGCGAGGGGCACGAGTCTCCGATAGATTTTTTTTTTTTTTGTTTCTCTTATCGAGATCATTTTTAAAATATTATTCTCGAGTTCGTCGCGTTAACGTAACCTTTTTTCATCGATCGGAGTAGCTCTCCACGATTCTCGATAACTTAAAGCAAAATTCAGCAATAGGAAACACCGATCAGTTACAAATAAAAGTATACTCTATTTAATGAGTTCTACCGTTCCAAATTAGTATAAACAGCTCTAAAAAAAAAAAATTAAAGTAACTTGAAAACCCATAGAAACGAACGCAGATACTACGATCGAACGATTAGCATAAACAACTCGGTGACTAAAATAAATACATGCAGGCCACCCTGATTAAATTAATCTAAAAAAATCGAAAGCAGATATAAAGAAATACGAAGCTCAAAAAATGATACGAATCAACGAAAGATTGGTACAAAAGAGCGGGGTATCTTGAAAATTATTACAAACGAAAAATACAAGCCTCAAAAATCGCCGCAAATAAACCATAAATCGACACGAACGATTCAAAAGTCACTTCCTGTACCGATTGCAGAGTACCTCATTTCATCTCTCAACTTAAATTGTTCCAGAAGCTTCTGTTGCGTTTGAAAAAAAAAAAACAAAAAAAAAAGAAAAACAGATTTAATCGGTAGATTAAACATCGTTAAATGTTATCATTTGTCGTTGAACGTTATTAACTAGCACAAAATTTAACAAACTTCATCGATAATCGTTTCGAACTCGAGAAAAATCGGAGACCCTTGCATCAAAGAACCATCTCTCCCGGCTTGATCGACGCTTTCCCGATGCGCCCCGTCTCTCGACAATTTTCCCACGTTTTCCAAGGTACATAATATACATGTAAAATAGGTCTGCGTGCATAGAACGCGTTTACAGTATGCACGCACTAGTAGTACAAGTAAGAAAAAGGTCAACTGTGCGTACCCAGCCGGGATATGATACAGTTTATATTACTCGATCTCTACGTTGTACTAAGATTTGGTTACTGAAGAGTATGTTACTAACTAGTTTGCTTTGTGGCACTGGGCTATTTCCCATTTTGTTAGTCGGAATGCGGATACGAGCGCGGACGAAACGCGCGTCCCTCGTCGGCGGTCTTTCTGGTCCAACGCGAAAGTAGAAGAGGAACGCGCGTTCCTAACAAAAAAAAAAAAATATGTCCGTCCCCCTCTTTCTCGTTAACTCTATCGACGCTTCATTTTTTTTTTTTTTTCTTTTAAGTACTAACAAGTTAATATTTTTTCTGTTTTCTTTTTTTTGGACGATCGTTCCTCGATCTTTTTTCAGACGTTTGACGTCAGCCAAGCCTCCGACCACCGTCGTTCGAACTCCCGACGAATCGTAACTGGTTCGCTACTCTTCGTATTTTTTTTTTTTCTTCTTTTGGTTGCATCGGTGTACCCTACAACTATTTAACAATACAGCTATACACGTACGGTGCTTACAGAACGATTACAAATAGTATACACACGGATCTTCGTTCAGGAGTCTCGTGACCTGACCCTAACGTTAGGTTAGGTTAGGAACGACAGTGGTCGAGGTTGGACTCCTTCGGTGCTGCTCATCTTTTGAAAATCTGATGCACTGAAGTAGCGTTCGGAGGATTCTTGTATAAACTGAATAGAAATTTCGTTCGGAGTATTTAAAATTTTCGTGTCAGGCCATCATCTCTGTTCCCCGCGACGACAAGGGCATCGAACGAGAAGTACTGCTTAAAATACTTTGTTCCTTTGGGATTTGAACTTGCGATATTTTTGTGCCATAGACAGACCCGTCGTTCGTCGAGCTACCGAGACTCGTTCCCGTTTGACTGAATCGTGTGCATTTTGGAGAAGTTAGGAACTAAAGTTTACATCTTTCCTCGCAGAATCAGTGAGAATCGCGGTTCAGGGACCTGAATCTTGAATCCTAGAAGCTCAGTGAGAGGTCCAAAATACAGACGCGCCAACAATCGCAGCACCGAAAGCGTGGAATCATCGGGGTCCACAGATAAGCTCCCCCATCTTGTTTCTCTCGCGCTTCACAATTCTGTCGCTCTATCTTACACAGACTACGCGTTTAACTTTTAATCGTACGCCTCGTATAGCTTACCTACATATGTACAGCCGCGGTACGGGGGGGACAGAAACCACGCAGAACGCTAGTTTCGAAAACTGAATCGACGATACACCATCGACGCGTGAAATTTAGTAGCTCTTTCAGCCAATAAATATTAAACGTTTAAAATCTTAATGGAATTACACATACGTAGCGGACCATAGTAGAAACATAGTGGCTTGGCATACAGCCTTCGGGTTGGTTACATCCTGATCGTAGCTTTGAAGCGACGGTTGACTGTTCAGTTTTTGAAATCAACCTTTTACAGAAGCTTCCTTCTCCCCGTTTCTCACACAATTACACGCACACACGACTCACACACCGGCGTTTACAGACGAGACGACGCGACCGATCTTAGGAACCGACTGGAATAAGCGACGGGTCGCGTCGCACACCCGGGACAAATCATTTGGATAAACAATTAGCGTAAATAGAAAAAAAAAAATGGGAACTACCGTCTAACATCTCTTTTGCTCTCACGCGCGATTTACACACAATCTTATCCGCGGTTTTTCTTCCCTACGCTCTTTTTCTCTCTCTCTTCCTCGCATGCACGCACACATACCTCGTGTATACATGTATATATATTCATATATAATCATTTTCATCATATGTATACCTATGTACAAAACACTAAGTGACTCGACATGACTATGTGCATTTCTCCCCCTTTCTCGTCCTCCCTCGTACCCCTCCCGTGTCTAGTCTCACGGAGGAGGATAATCCGCGCGCTCCCCTTATTCTCACCCCCCTCGAGAATTCGATACAGTTGGCGTGGTAGTTTCGTTAGTCGTCCGGCTAAAAATTAAGTGTATAATTCTATTACGAAATAGATGCGTAAAGCGTATTGCATTGCCTTCCCCCAACAGCACGCCTCCTCTCGATCCCTTTCGGTTTCTGTTCTCTTTGATTCTTCTTTTTCTTCTTATTCGACGATATATGCTCGATAATATCTTCTGCCGACACCCGGGCTCGGAGACGCTTCCGGCCGCGAGGGATTCTCAACGAGCGTCCTTCCCCCCGACTACGTTCTCTCACGATTCGTTCAAAATAGAAGTTTCGACACCGAGTCACCTGATCTCTTTGTAAACTGTCGCCGATCCGTCGAGCCCCCTTCGGAGATCAATTTCTTTTTACAACCCAAAATCACTGGAAAGCGAGTCGATCGAGAGCCGATATTAACGTGAAAGTTTCGGACTACGTAAAATCGCACGCTGCGACGTTGCGACATCCGGTTATTATTCCTCTGATTTACTATAATTTTCAGAGGACCTTCTGTTCGATTTTTAAAATAATTTACTTGGAAGTATACTCGTTCTCCAAGAGCAGACTTGATCATCTCGCGCGCGCGAAGCTCCTCGTATACGTTAATTTGCTCCCTTCTAGCAGGAGAGGATCTAAACACCCGTGAAAAATTCCAACGATAAATGTTGAATCGACCATGACATTCCAGCGAAGAACCCGCGCCTCCGCGTCTCCGATAATCCCGTTGCGACACGAAAAAAAGAAGTCTCTGGAAACTGTAGATCATGATTCGAGACGGGCGCAGACTTCGACGAGCAAAAATAAAAAAAAAAAAGGAAAAAAAAACCTAATTCCAACGCCACATCGGGAACACGATTTCCCAAGTAAAAACGCGTACAACTAAATAACAACGAGATCCAGTTGGCGGACCCACCCTTCGCGACGCCGTCTTTCGTCGACTAGCGAGCAAAAGATTCTGAACTGGAGGAATCATGATCCGTCCAGGACGTTTCCTCTGGCTTTCGAGTAAAACTAATCTATCCGGACAGCTAAGAAGCTTTGACGGCCCCGAGCTTCCGAACGCCGAATCCTCGAGTAAAAACAAAACAAACAAACGTGACGTGCCCTGGGTCGGGGTTCAGGACAGCCGTGACCCTCTGAACCATAACCCTTACAAAATGAATCTTTCGCGTTTAAATTAAAATAATCGACGCAAGAGCGCTTCGCGTTTCCTTCTCGAAGACGGTTCCGCAGAAACGAAGGAAAATATTTGATCGTTCGAGACGTTGTTCCACTCTCATCAAGAAGTGTCTTCCTTCTCGAACTTCGCGTCTTCGTTTATTCTGGTTCTCTTCTTGGCCGTGGGTCCTTCAGCGTCGTCGTCGCTGCTGGCTATCGTTTCTTCCCCGGCCTCTAGGCTCAGCAGAGAGTCACCCTGGCCAGAGTTTCCCTCAGCGGCGTCTCTCAAAAATGGACGTCCCTCACGTCGGTCGGCGTGCCCGCCTTCTCGTGTTCCAGGATCTTCTCCTGGCTGGTGATCATCTCGTCCCCCAGCGGCCTCTGTGGGGCACTCGACACGGACGTCCCTGTCACCTGATGTCCGTTTCCGCCGGTCCCATCCCCGCCCACGTGCGCCTGTGACACCATCTCCTCTATCTGCTCCAGGCACCCTTGCAAGTAATCCTGAAATTAAGAAACATTAAGTTATAATTCATCACACAAGCTTACATCTTATTCTGCTAATTTAACCTGACCCAAACTAACCAACATTCATTTACTAAAATGGAATTAATATTAAGTGTATTTGGTAGCATTAATTTTTATTTCACTTGCAAGAACCAGACACTTTGTCCAATCTAATACGATATGTACATGAGAATTCTTGACTTGATCACTGAATTGACCTTATATTTAACTAGATCAAAGATACTTGTACAATACATGGTCGTTGGAAGTAAACTTGTGAACAGAGAAAACCTGACATGATTGTATAATGCCCAAAATTATAAGAATAACCCAAACTAACCAACAATCCTTTATTAAAATGGAATGAATATTGAGTGCATTTTGTAGCATTAATTTTGTCCAATATAATACAACATGTACATGACAATTCTTGATTTATTGAATTGACCTTATATTTAACTAGATGAAAGGTGCTTGGTAAACTTTTGAACAGAGAAAACACGACGTGATTGTACAATGTCTGAAATTATAAGAATTATCAGAATAACCTCAAAAGCTTAAGTTACTTTATCGCGATACGGTTTTTCTTTCCAATGATTTATATTCCCCTTGAGGAGAGGCGAAACCGTATAGCCGAAACGTTGAGATAAATAAATTTATTCTCATAACTGAAGTTTGCTTTTGACGACCAAATAAGATACACCCTTCGTGCGATCAAATATTAGGTTAGTTCGGTAACTGAGTCGACCGTTACACCATGTATGTACTGCACGGAGCTATAAAGATTATCCCCGATGCTCAAGATGTGAAATCCGTCTTTTCGCCCATAAAACGAGTTCTCATGATAGTTATGCTATTATTAACCATTAACAATACTGAAACGAACTTTTCGAAAATTCCTAATCATCGAGTCCCATTCGTATATCCTGCTACCTAGTAGTTCATGACTTTCTTTTATTTAACGTCTCTCTGTTACAAAAGGAAGTTCTACGCCAAATCAGTTATTTTCAACATAACCTCGAAAAGCACCCATAGCGAGAAAAGTAGCCAGATTTTTGCGAACGATTTTATCACCGACGAAGGGGAATTTTCAAGAAAGACTTCGAGAAAGAGATCGTTCGCGAATCCAGCCAAGACGTCGTGCAAAAAATTCCTGACGAGGAGAGTGCAGCAGGTGTCGGGCACATGTTTACGCGAAAAAAGGGCAGAGCGAGCGTGACGAGAGCGGGAAAGAGGGCAAAGAGCATCGCGCTATTCGAACACGCGCAGACTATACATTCGTAATGCACCAAGCGCAAATAAAGTGCACGCGTGAATGGCTCGGCATGGGGTCCACGCCCTGTAAACGCAACATTTTTACCAGCCACATGTGTTTAGGAGCAGGAAGATCATCCTCGAGTCTCTATCTGGCCACCTGCCATTTCATTCATGATCTAGAATCGTTCGTGCATGAAGGAAATCCGACCAAAGCGGTGATCGTTGCAAAATTATAAACACATTTCTGACTTTGGGGTTAGGTAACCCTTGGTCAACGAGGTTTTAAGGTTAGGAGACAGTTTTGCTAGAGCTTGAGCCTCTTTTCTCATAGACCAGTAAAAATCTGTTAGCTGAATTTGATAGTCAATAATTCGGTTTCGTTTGTTACAAGAATAGTATGTAAAACTGTAATTATTCATCCGTTATTATTATTCCCCATGGAGTTCTGGAATACTACCTCTCGCGCCAATTCGTCTAGACCTATCATTGGCTGAAGTACCAGGACTTGAGAATCGGTTTAACGCGTGCTATTAAAACACGGCGAAAGTCCTGTCTCTTTTATTTCGTCAAGCGTATACGTATTGCGTTTCGCTCGTTTCATGCAAGATGTCAGACGTATCGCGCGCGACACTTGGCCGTTGACGCTCGCATAAACCGGGTGCAAATGGATTCGCGATTAAACCTATTCCCTGACACTGCTATCCCGATGTTTTCTCGTGTGTCGTGTAATAGCATCAACAGGAGGACAAACCTGTTCGATAGCCGTGATACGGGTAAGCTCGTCGAGGAGGCCAGCCAGCCCGTAACCGCTTTTCCCAGTCCAATCGAGACCATGGAGGGCCGCCGCGACGCTCGCCGCCGCGATCATGCTCGGCGTGTACATCGAGAATTTGTACTCTGCAAAAAGAAATTCGTCGCTGCGTTAGTGCGTCAGCAACAACGTGTTCTTAATTCAGTACTTAATCAATCGCTCGAAAGTCTCAACGAAACGTTTCGAACAAAGCTTTTTCTAAACCACTTCCGGTTCATATCCCTTTAATATTTTTATGCGAATGAGGATCGTGACAGCATATAACGTTAGTTGCACGTTCGTTCTTTTTTCGTGCCCGAATCTACCTGGAAGAATGACGGAAAATTTTGCGCCCGGAAGACGTTGGCCTCGAAGGCCCCGAAACAGAAAAATTCGCTAATAGAACCGCGCAGGTAGATCCCCGGGTCTGAAACGAGATTTACGACGTTGAAAACTGCGGACTTCGGGTTGAGGGGGGGCAGGGGGGGGCAGAAGTCCAAAGGTTACCGACAGCAAACACACACTAGTCGCACCGCCCCTCTCGCCCTAACCCCTCCCCCCCTCTGTATTACGTCCAGTTCGAGCGTGAAAGCTTTTGTCACCTAGTCGGAATAGCGTGAAAGGGCCGAATCTCCATGAAACCGGAGAAGCAGACAATTAAGTCGACTGTCTTACAGATTAAATCAGATTGGTTCGTCGCTCGCTAATCTCGACCACTAACCGTGATTCCTATTGGCTAGAAAACTACGACCCAGGGCTTTCTAACGCCTTTGTTAAGCTAGCGTCTTCCTCGAACAATGAGAACATCCTTTTTTGCGAACCGACGTGGATGATAAATTACACGTTCAAAAAGTATCCGAATTTTTGTGCTACGAATTTAGTGTACTCAGCAATGGAGAATAATGATAAAACGCTATAATAGGACCTTCACCACGACTCTCTAACCGTAACGACGCTCCACGCTCGCGTCGTCGACTAACCTAACCTTAACCTTAACGGTCCCCGCGGTGAGGTTACGCGCGAGGCGCCAATATTTGAATTAGCGGTGGATACCAAATATTTTCGTTGTTCAAAAGTGGAATTAAGAAGGAGGGGGCTACGAAAGCAGAGTTTTATCCGTTATTCCCCCGAACTATCTCGTGGAAGAGAAAACCACAGACTGTCATTTTAGATACTAGTGACTTTTGGTCGTTTCAGGTGAGCAATATTTATCTTCCCCCGCGAGAGGTCTCGTGCGCGCGTTTTGTCCGGATTTTTCGCGAACGCGAGGCACTAATTCATTCACGGGAAAGACGGGAACAGGTTCCATGGACGAACGAAATGTCCCGTGGACGAGCTGAAATTCAACAGTGCGCGCTCGCACAGACGGCTGTAATAAAGCCATTAAGAATGGAATTCCGCGAAGCAGCTCTTAAATTTGCAGAGCCGCGAGAGTTCGTTTTGCCTCGCGCAGGTGCGTCCCTCTGCCCCGTGGACGGGGAATTATTATTTGAGGACGACATTCCAGCTACGAAGACCACCCCCATTGATCGATCTCTCGGGGTATTTATGACCGTTTCTCCTGACAATTATATCTCCGTACGGAGATTCTGCTTTCGAACTTTCCATCCTTGCCTCCTCGATCGATCCTGCACTTTTCATCGGTGCTCGATTCTTTCTTAGTTTTAGAGATTTTAATATTCCAGGTTGGCAATTCCAGTCGCCATTTTGTATTGGAATGGTGGAACTATTGCGTTATACAAAAGCAATTTAAAAAATATTTTATAAAGAATGTTGATTGATGGATGGAAATCGTAACATTATAAATTAAAATTACCTCAATAGACAAGAAAATAAAAACGCTCATGCATGAATGTAATATTTTTCTTTTGTCGAGCCTCTCTGAAACTTCCTCAACTCATATTTCATTTTTCTTGAGCTCTTTGATATTTTCTCGTTTTATTTCCCATTCATTTTCTTATCTTGACGACGACCTCTTTTCATCTTTTCTTGGGTCTCCTTTCAGTTTGTTTTGTTCATTCTCTCTTGGCGGTTCTTTTTCAACCTTCTCCTGCTTACATTCTACTTTTCTTTGGGCTCTTTTTAGTTTCTCTTTTTCTGCTCCTTTTCTTCTTGCATCTACCTCTTATAGTCCTCTTTTCTCTTCTGTCGTTTACAGGTATTCACCGGTATATAAGGAAAATAAATTAGGTAAAAGTGTAAAAGGGCGGGAAAATGTAAGATTTAAATAGAGAAAACAGAAAAATACTAGACAAGAGTGAAAGTACCTAGGGCAGAGGTTAGGAACATTGGCGGGAAAGTGATTGTACATATAAATACAAGAAAATAGGAGAATGCATTGGAAGAATGAGGTAGAAACAGTAGAAAGGTTAATAGAAGAAGTTAAGTATACAGAAGCGAGATGAGTTGTTAACTCCATGCCTTGTAACGTCGAATCAGACTCGTGGTTCATAATTAGGGTTACCAACCGTGTCTTTTTTAAGAGTACATGAACCTCCCCAAGATGGTAGAACAACGTGCTATTACTTTTCACTTATCAGAGTGAAACGTATTCTTTTTCAAACGACAAAATATACAGATTAGATTATCCAATCTAAATTGATTATTTATTGTGCATATCGCATGTTTTCCTAACGCTCTAGTTATCTATGAAGGTGTTCCGGTTGGTTCACCGATGAGAAAAGTACTAGAGGTGGACAATCCTGAAGGTAATCAATCCCGTGTTGGCTGATTTTTCTAATTTTAGCGCTGTTCTAATATACAAGTTGATCATTAAATATAGACAGCGCGGTGGTCCTTCCGTGGGGTAAGGACGAGAAAACGAAAGAAGATAAATAAAAAAAAAAAGGAGGCAAAGAGGTTCAGAGACCTTCCGCGATTCAAGGAAGCGGTCGGAATTCGTGGCGCCGTTTGCTTCTCTTTTCGCCGCTGAAAAAGAGGGTCAAACGACTCGAACTGGGCCCCGTCGACTACCTAGTTTGGCTCGTGAGAAACAATCACCGTCGTTCTAGTCTTTTCTCCTTCCCCAGCCGGAACCAGGCAGCCAACCAGACGACGAAGGACGATGGTCCTTGCTTTTTGCCATTGACGGTTGTAATAACAACCGACTGGCAGCGGCCAGGAGGGATTTAAACGTGTCTCGATCTCGTCGTGTCCCTTCTTCTTCTTCGTCCGCCTCTTCTTTTGGTCCCCTTGTTTCTTTCGAGTCGCGGCTTTCCAAGGAGAAGGCGCGCCTTCGCCGATGATTTCGATCACTTCTCTCTCCGACTCGCCTCTTGTTTTCGGAAGACATCGATCCGCCGGGCCGATTGCGATAATTGTAGAGGCGAAATGCCCGAGATGGGGTCTCTTCTAATTGATGAGCTCGTTTCCAAAATATTTCAACCGTCCTAGCCGACCCAACGCGATGGAATTCGGGCCCATTATGACGCGAGCCCGAATTTTATTATTTCGCGTTCCACGGCACGAGGTTCCTGAATAAATTATCGTTGTTCTTGTATGAGAAATAATAGTATAATTTGAGATTTTAAATTTATTTCCGTTGAATATTTTATTTTGCTCGTTTCTGGCAGACAGGCGTTACAGCTCGGTCACTTTCGTTGCTCCATTGTCGTTTCAGGCTCTATCTATAATTGTATGCGCGCATGACCCATTAAGCTAAAAGAAAGAAGCGCAGAGGAATCGATTCGACGTAGTTACGCGATGGTTTCCGCCGGGTGCAATATACGATGCACAAGCATATTCATTAACGCGTGAGTTAACGATGCACGTTCCCGATTGTTTACGACACCGTGGCACGGTTCTAACGAGGCTGACAATGAAGGCCCGGCGCATAAGAATTGCATTTTAAATCGCGCCGCTGCGTGACGCGATTATAACTTTCAATAACCACCTAAATGTCTCCGATCCGCGACAAGCGTTCCCATTAATGAAATTAGATGGAATTTGTAAAACTTGCAAAAGATATTCTAAACCTTTTTGGAAACAAACTACCTTTATTTGAAAGGCAGCTAAAGTAGGAGATATAATACTCTGATTTGTAAACCCTGAAGATCAATTACTAAACACTTCATGACTGCTTCGCGTTAAAGTTTTTAACATTTTTTATGAATTACTTCGAGATATGGATCTCGATATGGTTCTTCATATTATTTATGGTATAAAAGAAACTATAATCTTTTAAAAATAATTGCACGGTTAATTATTATCTTAATATAATTAACCAGGAGATTTAAGTGATAATTACCCTTCCTAATGAACGTTCGTTCCATGTATTTCCAGGATACCAGACACCACGAGTGTGTTACAATCAAATTAAATTAAAACCCTTGGAGGCGTATAATTACGATCGATATAAGGAACAAAAATATGTATCAAAAGGGCTATCGTTCTTTAAAAATATTCGAACGCGCGATAGGGCTTGAATTATGTGATTGAAAACAGAGCAAATATTAAAAGTTCGCTCGTGCTACAAATTTATGTAATATTCCGCCGTCTAACCGTTCCACGTGAATTTGTTTCTTTTGTTAATTATCCTTATCGCAACAACTGCGGTATTATGAAAATTATACCCATAAGACGCCACGAGTCTTAGAAACTCGCCATAATCGTTTCATATACGAGGAAAGTAGAACGAATTATAATTTTCCTTCAAATAGCTCGTACTATTGTACGCATTTTAAAATCGAACTCCTTTCGATGTTCGCGATAATGTTTAATCCCCAGGGCGATGTCATTCGTACGTTATGCACGTACGCTATGCGGAAATCCTGTAGACGCATTTTTAACCGTATTCATGGAACGCCCATAGGCGTCAGACGCACGTGGTACGCTGACCAAACGTGTATAAATAACCACGGTGTCGAAGAGGTTAATTACCAAATTTGTAAACTTACTATCTCCACCTACAACACAAACGAACATAACCTAACTCGGCGACACGAATGCAAATAAAATTGACTATTCGCCACGTAGCGAGCAGTTGGCTATATAAATGCCTCGCGCAGATAAAATAAACGGGAAAGATCGGAACTATCATCGAAAAGAAATATTCTAACCTCAAAATGTTCAGAAAGGAACCCAGACTTCCGTAACCGCCGAATGGAATTTTCACGATCGCGTTTCTCACGAAGGTCCGACGGGAAAAGGGAAGAAGACGGAAAGAAGACCGGATTTTCCAGACAGCGAACTACAACCTAACCTAACACGAGCGAATATCCACGGAACCCTCGAGTTTTCCGTGGCGAGGCGAGGAGCGCGTTCGCATGCGAACTCGTCCCACATACATAAATACATATATGCAGTTCGGTAATCCCGATCGTTTCTCACCTCTGGCGCTGAGGGCGATGAAGGTCTGCGCGTGCCTCGTGACCATCGCCAAGTCCCAGGTACGTGGCACCGGCAGTCTGCTGAGGATGTGCATCAGGAAGTCACCGGGCGTCACTGCGGATAATTCCCACTTCAGCTTCGAGACGACCAGCTGTTCCCACCTCTGCAACAGTCACGAAAGAGAACGCGTTTAGGACTTCGTTATTGACTGCTCGAACGACCATTTCTTCTTTTTTTTTCTTTTTATCAACGGGGGGACGTGGGTGGGTGGATAGTGGGACCGATGATATGTGGGATGTCGTAGACAACACAGATACCTCTATGGCCACGTAACGAGGCGAGGTTATCATTTACGATACAAATTGTATGGATATCCTCCATTTTATCATAGAAAGCATTAAACATCGAACGTAATATCTTTTGTACTAACAAGGGAAGCAAAATATATTTATATTTCACTTGCTTTTACGATAAATTTCATTCAAACGTGTGTAGAGACATGTTATGTGAGGTATAGGATATCCGACCAGTACTACACGCCTTTTATGCATTTACAACACTCTGTGCTACACATTGGATATCGTATAGACTACACAGGTTCCTCTATAGTCACGTAACGAGGCGAGGTAATCATTTACGATACAAATTATATGAATATCCTCCATTTTACCATAGAAAGTATTAAACATCGAATGTAATATCTTTTGTACTAACAAGGGAAGCAAAATATATTTAGATTTCATTTGCTTTTACGATAAATTTCACCCAAACGTATGTAGAGACATGTTATGTGAGGTTATGTGAGGTATAGGATATCCGACCAGTACTACACGTCTTATGCATTTACAACACTCTGTGCTACACATTCCAGGTGTACATTGGATATCCTTATCGTTCATTCTTGCGCATTGTTCCCTTTATAAATTAAACATCCCCCCATTATCCCGGAGAGATCCATTTAACTACGCATGGCTCTCCGGAGCAGTACACGCTCATTTCCTCGCGGTATATCGCGTTATCGTAGTAGCCGTACACGCACGCTTTCTGTTTCCTTTCCGTTTCGCGGATGCGCTGCTCGCTCGAGTACGTCGTAGTACCCTCGTTTTCTCCCGACCATGAAATTACACGGCGGCTATACTACGTGGAGTACTACGTGTCCTTCGGCTTGATTAAAAGTCCATTGAATTCAGCGGGCACGCTACTCAAGGCTGCGAAATTCTCTTACGAAACAGCATGACGTGGCTTTAGCCGGCTCGCCAAATAAAGCATGACCGTCTTTAATGAATTATCATTAACGTGGCTGCTAGAACCGGCCGTCGTCATTTGACACTGGAAATGGACTCGAAAGTAATTGCGGAGTCGATCCCAATTAAAACCGGAGACGCGGTTCTTTGTCAAATTAATTAGTTTCTATTACCGGGCGAGGATTTATTTTACCCTCTGGTGTCCAAATGATGAACTATACCACGGAGCATATTTTACTTGCACGATGGTTACCGGCACGAACACGTTATCTTGGCACATGTGCCGTTCTAAGTAACTATTTCGAAATTCGAAACGGTCTTTTTTTTTTTTTTTTTTTTGCGAATCTTATCTCCCTCCTTCGTGTCTCACCTCCTCGATTGACCTCTTATCCTTGAGAGGGTGGAGCTTCATACTCGAGTGCGCGCGTACACACTTGTAACGCGACACGCAGAGTGCCGGTGAATGAAACAAAGACGACGTGCAGTGGTATAGGCACGATTTTTACGCGGCGAAAAGTCGATTCCCGAGTGGTCGATCGTAATCGATCGCTGTGGAAACGAGTCGTATGGTTTATTTTATGTAGAATGCCGGGAAAGTGATTTACAATAGAGCTCGACGGTGTTTACATACATATAGTAGCTAACCTCAAAGACGTTACGGTCACCTAGGTATACGCTTTCGAGGTTAGGTACGAGAGTCGAGCAAGATGAAGTTCTCATCTGCCAAAGAAAAAGGAAAGAAAGTTGAAAAAACGAGAAAGTAAACTATATTCATCATTAAGTTCTACGAGGCGTAAAATTCAGCAAAAAACCATCAGGGTTCTCGAACGGAGGAGAGAAAAAATAAATGCTCGTACGGTCAGTGTGCATCGAGCGTTAATTGTATAAAAACATCAGCGATTTAAAAGATTGCTCGAACATATGAAAGCTGTTAGGGGACTGGCATTGTAACAACGAATCAGTGAACGAAGAACATTTATCTTTATTAAAGACAGATAATAGTTACACTTCATGGTTCGAACGAATCAAATATTTAGTAGTTAACCTCAAAGAAAAAAATACTTATTTACGAAAGAAATTTCTTTAGTGGCGCCATCTGAGTGCAAAGGGTTAATTACTAAATTTTGCGTACTTTAGTATGTGCATTGTGTTGGGCAAAGTCGACCAATGAAATTCGAGCCGCGTGACAAGCCCTGTTTACACGCAACTTCACTTTCCTATGGAACGCACGTAATTATGTAATTAAACAGATATCTAATTTGATTAAACGTAGGCTGTAAAACTGAGACGCATAATGCAAATATGGAAGAAAAAGTAGAGAAAAAGAGGAACAACGCGAGGCACGTAATATGTATCTCGTCGATGGTTGTAGAGGACTCGTCACGGAATGCGTCACGGTGCAACGACGCGATCTACCGGGGCTACGCACGACACGGTACGATGCGTACGCGAACGTAAACGTAACGATTCCGCGGGAGGCCAACGATCCGCCTCAGGGATACGCGTTTACTATTTATAAGTAACGCGTTGCGGTTTTCTTGATTGTCGAGAAGAGAGAGACAGTAAGACAACCCGCTCCGCCCAGGCCGTTTATTATTTCGTCTTGGAATATCTGGTGTCTCGGCCCCGACGTAAGTCCCTGTTAAATGATGCAACGCTATCTCGCGGCCGGGCTTGCGCATTCGCGTTTTTCTAACGGCCAGTCAGCCAGTTCTCACGAGGACGAGTTTTCGCCCTCCGGAATGTGATTAGTGTTTCTTCTCGTAATCCATTTTTATTCATTCGCCTCGACAGAATACTTGGACGAATGTTTCGCGACAACGGAGTTCTATTAAACTTTTACAACAATTTAACCAAAGTCGGGGTATTTCTGGTTACTAGACTGAGGAAGACGATGCAAAATTCCCTAGTAGTATCTTTCGAAGAAACGAGTTATTCAAGTAACTAGAAACACTACAGTTTCCAATCCTGTTTGGTGCATTATAATAATATTTAAGGACCATAGCATAGAAAGGGGTTAAGAACCACTAAATTATTGTGATCTAGTAACAATACTGCATTTGATTCAACAAAGGACGTAAATACTATCTTCCAAAAAGTCCACCGAACGAATATTACTCGAAAGGGTCAATATCATTTTTATTACCATTAAATCAAACTTCCTGTTGGCTTTCTACCGGCTCGATACGCGTTATCGGGCACGAAACCGAGAGAGAAAGTCGGTACAAGGCACGAAAGAGAAAGATGAAGAAAGAGCGTACCGTGAGACGTGGAATATTCGAACTCTACACACATGGTATGTCCACAGGTGCAAAGCTGTGGGTGCTGTAATAAGTATGTAAGCAGTAACAGGGATGTGACGTCAAACGGAGGGGCCACGCACCGAAGAAGAAAGGAAGAAGACTATTATTACATTCTTTAGATCATTATACCGTAGCTGTTTCGATCTTGTTTTAATCTAAACGCCATTTACGGGGTACTTTATAAGGCTGTCCATAGCAGAGTAGTCGGTGGAACTCGTGAAAAAAATTACACGTCTTGCCAACTTAAATTTATATTAGTAGTGTACTTATTATTCCAATGGCAAAATAGATCTATTTTTATAAAACCCTGACTCTGCACGTTGTACCTCGTATATTATCAATTTGGGCAATTTTTAGTCTCTTAAATTAAACCAATAAACCATCAAACTCGAAACCCAAAATGCAATCGTATGAGGATAAAATTAGCGAACATAACCTTCACAATTATCTTTATGGCATGTATGTATACTCCAAAGTATACATATATGCGACTCATTTTCTTGCAGCAAAGTATTGAACGAAACTGTATTATACTGTACAGGGTGACCCAATCGTCTTTACATAAATTAGCATCACTGTGTGTTATCAGTTTAATGGGACCCATGTATCATTTTCTCCATATACAGCGACTTTTAAATATCCGTACACGTACAGTTTTCAATCGTTCTGTTTGGAGCTCGAACAGAAGTTGTTTCGAAAGAAACCGAAGATGGACGCAGGAGTGACTCGATACGATACTGGGTATTCACCGTGGTATTTGCGGTAGTGCGTATCGCGCGTACGCATGCGCACGTACGAATGACGCAACGAGTGTGCATGCGCGATCCACGTGCAATTTAACCCCCTCTGGTCTCGTCTGATAGGATTCGATACCGTTTAGTTCACCATTATCGCCCGTGGATCGGATTAAATGCATAACAATTTGATTTGTTATGCATTCAATAACAATGTACGCATCATGTTTCCTTTTTATTATAATTTGCAATAATGAAAATTATCCACTGAAATTCCTCTGGCATTAATACAACCATTTCTCATAACGTAGCATCGAAACTCAAATTTCTCATACGTCAGCCCACGACAAATTGCATCCAACATATGCTGTGCCAAGGAGATAAGACATCGTGTGAAATCGGATAGTACAGAGCGATAGCAGGACGCATAATAATTACAGTTATTAGGAATAATTACGGACTATCCACGTATTATGCTGCATCATTTTCAATGTACGGGAATGATGAAGTTTCGGGACGTCCAGATGTCGGGTCGGGGGTGGAATCAGTGCGACAGGTGGCGAACGGGAGAAAGCGTGAATGCCCGCCATTTTCTTTTCAGACGATCTGACCGCCGAATAAAATGTTTCTCGCGAATATAAAATAATTTATCGATGGTCTAAATCCGAAATTTTTCAAACTTCACCCTTTCAGAAATTCCACCCACAAACCAAAATTATTTATCCTTTTCTATGTTTCGTTAAAAAATGTTTAATGTTCTTGTTAAATTATTCTTTAAACGATTCTACGTCTGTTAAATAATGTTAAATATAATGAGTGTGCCGAATACTCGTATCCAGAATTCGATGGAGCGGCGTTACGTCACGAAAGAATTTAGAAACA